ATGCTGCTTTTCCTGGGTGACTGTCTTCCTGCATCACCAGATCAGCTCCTCTTCCTTAGTGGCCTGTTAATTTTGTTTGCTCCCTTTATAGGGGTAACTCCTCCTCTCCAGCCTTTGGGGAACTGAAGGACTATTATCTCTTCTACCTGAAGAGCAAGTCTCCCCGGGAGGAGCTTCTGAAGATGTGGGGAGAAGAGCTGACTGGTGAGGAAAGTGTCTTTGAGGTGTTCACATGTTACATCACTGGAGAGCCCAACAGGAATGGGCACAAGGTGAGTGATGGTCCAGGAAGGGATGGTCACTGTGGCACAGACAACAGTGCATATTTCCTTTTGCTCCTGGTACCACATTGTTCTTCTAAACAAGAATTGGCACTTCCTTGTCCAAAAGGACTTGCTGAAGTCTTGGAAGGGAATCCAACAGCCAGAGTTAGGGCTCAACATGAAAGGAAAGCTGGAACAGTATGACAGCACCAGTACTGACAGACTTCATTCTTAGAGTTGGGGATATCCTGCCCCTTGAAGCAAACCTGGGACTTGTGTCCTGAAGCAGGTGTCTTTGAGAGCATTAGGGCACTTCTGAGATCCTTCAACGTCCAGATGGTAACGAAAGGGATGTTACAGCCATTGTGAGCCATCCTTTCTCCTCCTGGTAGGTTACGTGTATGCCTTGGAACGATGACCCTCTTGCTACTGAGACCAACCTTCTGAAGGAGCAGCTGGAGAAGGTTAACAGACGAGGAATCCTGACCATCAACTCCCAGCCAAACATCAATGGCAAGCCCTCCACAGACCCCATTGTAGGCTGGGGGCCCAGCGGGGGTTACGTCTTCCAAAAGGTACTGTGCAACTCTCATCTAGGCAGCAAAGAGTTATGACCCAATTTGGTGTCTGTTAGGTAGGGAGGTCCTAGGCTTTCATCCAGATAATCCTTCTGCCTGCTCCTTTTCTTAATGCCTTCTTGCTGAGATGAGCCAAAGCTCCTTTGGTGTATTAAGAGACAGACTGTCATATCTCTATGACTTACTTCATAGTCATACTTACTCACCTCAAAACATCTTGTTTTTACTCCCAGCAAGTAATTATTAGTGACTTCTTCCTAAAGCAGGACTATGAAGTTTTAGATACAAACACATACCTGCCCACTGCACCTGATCCCATTCTGTGATGCAGGAAACACCCAGTTTGGGAGTCAGTGAGGGAGTATCTCTACCACCCAGCTTCTCATGGTAATAACTGGGCATTTAAAAATTTCCCTATCTGTTCTCCTCTAAGGCAGAGTTCTCCACCAGTTGTCCCCATGCCACAGCACTACTGCTGTGCTGTTTAGAGAGCTGCCAGGTTCCTCTTCTGGCCTGGGAGCAGTCTTATCTCCCATGCCTGCCTCCTACTGCCAAGCTTTCCAGGCCCTAGAGCCTCGCCACTAATGGCTGTGATAGCAATCTCCCATCAAGGTAAATGCAAAGGCAGTGGCTCATACTAGGAAACAAAGCAGCCTTGTTCAAAAGGGATCCAAACCTCTAAAGCCATGAGACTAGCAGATGGCAAATGCAGTTATGTTTTCAAAGGAAAAAATTCCCCTGAGGTGAGGGGAAATCCATCATCTCACACAATAGCCAGGAAATGGGGGGAGGGGAAGCAGTTGTTGGGAGCAGCCAAGCACAGAGCAGGCAGAGAGAGCAAGTACAGAATTAGGCTGTGTAAGCACACAGGAAGAACTGCGGACAAAAGATGAGGACAGGGAATGGTGGGGTGCTTGGGAGAGCCCAGCTGAGACCCCTGACTGCTGCTCCCAGCAGACTGGGCTGTTCGTAGGGTACCACAGAGAACAGAGGTCCAGCCCAGGCCTCTTCCAAGCACTCTCCTCTGGCACAGCCTGCTTCCCAGGCTGCGCTGTCAGGAACTCATTCCAGCCTGTCTGCTTACCTGGGTGCAGAACGGGAACAGCTTTCCTGGCCTGGCTGCTCCTGGCCTGTTACCTCTGCTCTCCCAAGTTATTTTTAATTTTTTTTTCCTCAGCTCTCTTACTCATTTGCTCAAGCCTCCTCTATAGTACCTGTTTCCAGGAATAGACATGCAAGTCTTAAGCTGCCTGGTTTCCAAGCAGCACCAGCTATACAGCTGTTCTCTTGGTTCCCTCTGAGTGTCCCATCCCTACCATGAGTAAAGGCTCTTCTTCTCCTTCCCCTTCCCCGCAGGCATACCTGGAGTTCTTCACCTCCAGCGAGATCGTCACGGCCCTGCTCAAAGTGCTGAAGAAGTACGAGTTGCGAGTGAACTACCACATTGTCAATGTCAAGGTGGGCTGTTGTTTTCCGGGCACTTTCCTTTCACCACCTTAGGAGAGAGGCACATATTCAGACCAGGTATCACTATGAACAAAGCGGGGCTGATGAAGGGAAAGCTGTGATGTGCAGCAGCTATCTGATCTCTTAACAAGGAGAGGGTAAACGCACTTGTTCCAACTCACTCAGTCCTTCCTCCAGCAGTTGGTTCAGAAAGGTTTTCCTTCCTTTGGCAGGGCCAGAATATCACCAATGCTCCAGATCTGCAGCCCAATGCTGTCACCTGGGGCATCTTCCCAGGCAGAGAGATCATCCAGCCCACGGTGGTGGATCCTGTAAGCTTCCTCTCCTGGAAGGTGAGTCCTCCCTCCCGCTGGACACACTGCTGTGATGCCCAGAAGTTCAGTGCCAGCTTTGGTTACAGTCTCTGACACTTCTTGTGGTTGAGCACTGTTGTGATATTAGCTTGCAGATGTTCAGATATTGCTCTTCCTGCTCCCTCAGTGTAAGGAGAACTTTGCTCTGGTAAGAGCTCTTGACAGACACCCAGTGCCCGGTAACCGGAGGCTCGGGAGCTGTCACTGTCACTGTCACTGTCCCCGCCGTGTCCCCCGGCGCTACGGGCAGCAGCTGTCCCTCCGCTCGCACGCACGGGGGCAGTACTGAGCCGTTTTCCTGCAAACACCTCTCCTCAGCTCTGACAGTTGTGCTCAGGGCACTCACTGACTGGGAGCAGGAGACTCCTCACTCAGCTCTTGCGATATTTACTGAGAGGAAACAAGCTCCAGGCCAACAGCCACAGGCCTGTCTGTCCTAAATAAAGTAATGTGAAAACAGAGCTGTGTAACGTGCATTACACCACTACAACATTTGTTTTTCTTGGCAGGATGAGGCCTTTGCACTGTGGATTGAGCAATGGGCCAAGCTCTACGAAGAGGAGTCGCCCTCTCGCATGATCATCCAGTACATCCACGACAACTACTACTTGGTCAACCTGGTGGACAATGACTTCCCACTCGAAAACTGCCTCTGGCAGGTTGTGGATGATACTTTTGAGCTGTTGAACTCCCCAGCTCAGCAGTGAAAATTCCTCTTCTAATCCTTTACTTCTTCCTTCCGTCCACTGACTGCGGAGAGAGAAAAAGCAGCTCCTGTGCTGATGGTCGACCACACACTCCTACACCCAGTGACCAGGACAGCGCTCTGATCTACCCACACTACGTGCTCTTCTGTCCCCAACAGAAAGGCTCCCTGACCCCTTCTCACGGAATGAGAGCCAGAACTGCCTGAACCTCTGAGCTGAGGCTCTAGACCGAGCTTGAAGACCAGCTCTGCAGGATGGAGAGGTGCTAATCATGGACATGGTGATTACACTAACAGGAGACCTCTTGTGTATCAATGTGATAAAACTGTGGGACTCTGGTAACTTTTTAAAGCCAGAAATGCTGCCTTGGGGGCAGAAACACTCCTGTCAGCAGTGCCTATGCAAGGAGACTATTTCAGCAGTTACCAACCCTGAGAAGAAGCTCAAGTTGCTTTTATATTGCACTCCTAAGATGTATTTCTTCATAACTGATCATATCAGGCTCTTTTGCACTCACTCCAGAAGAATATTCAAATTTCCTCCCTAACTTTTCTCCTTTTATTATATTTCCTATTTTCTTTTTGGTAGGAATCACACTATTTCTTAGATTAAGTACAATAAACTACAAAAATACAAATGTCTCTTGTACTAAGCTGTACTCTTTAAGTAGCAAAGACTCCTGTCTCTCAATCACCTGGGACAAGGGAAAGTTTTAGGAAAACCAATTGTTTTTGGGGCAGTTCTACCTTCACTTTCAACACATGCCCTAAGTAAAGTATGTACAGAGCTCCACAGTACAGCAAAGAAAGCTTAAATACTAGAACTTACCAAATGCAACCAGCTACAACCTTTGGCTTAGTTCTGCAAGGTCCCAGGAGTTGTGGTGGTCCTTTTCCAGTGCCTGTAGGGGAAGATAGCCTGTCCTTCCTGACCTAATGACTCTTAACAGCCTTAGGCCCCACAGCATTGAAATCAGGGCTTGGGGGAGCCAGGAAGGCCGCTTTGTGTGCTTAACAATCCTGCAAAGCTACCACAGGCTAGGAAAACAAGACCTTGGGGCAGTTCCCAGTGGGATTTTGAGATCCCTGCCATGCTGTGAGCATCTCTTTCAAACAAGCAAGGAAGAAAAGCCTTTTCCAGATTCTTCAGACCCTCTCATTACAGCTGTCTGAGACTGGGCTCATATATCCAGGGTAATTACAGGGCATCAATCACAGAAGCAAGTAATGGGAAGGTTGGGGGTCAGACACGCCTGTCTTGCCTCAGCAAAGCTTTTGGTGCTCAGCTGTTCCCAGCAGGTTTCTTCATCCCTAGCCCATTCAGCACAGAAAGGAACCAGCAGGAAGCAGTCAAGAGGTTGGCCACCCACTGAAAGGCTTAATGAAGAGCTGATGGACCTGGACAGGGGGAGGAGGTGGGAGCCATGTGGGAATCCCCCCCAGGGGAAGAGCCAAATCTAAAACTAAAGATCTGTGTTTGCACCTACCAAGGACAGCCTAGACTTTGGAATCAACAGGATGTAGCATTTCACATTTCTCCTTCTCATCTCTAAGACTGATGTACTTGCTTACTCCTCTGTGTGACACTAAACTCCTGTCCAGGAAAAAAAACACTGAATAAAGGGAGAGCCTGTAAGGTGGTTTTTTGACCTTTAATCAGAATTCCAGCAAAATCAGGGTCCAGAGGAGAAGAGAATGCAACCTCACAACAAAAGGGAATAACTTCTCTGTTTGTGCCTCTAGGGGGATGGGATATCAGTCCTTTAAAGAGGACCTTTCACAAGGTACCATCTCTTCCTGGTTGTCCCTTGGCTATCACACTCCTGCTTTTATCACGTGAGCAGAGCATTCGCTGTCTTGCTTGCGCAGGACCAGCCCTTTGTTGTGACAGCCAGCTGTATCCTCCACGTGTGCCGAAACCAGCCGCAGCTGCGGGCAGGCCACCGTTCAGCAGCGTCCTTTGTCCTTGAGCCGGAGTGCTGTTAGCTGCCACCACCTTCCAAAGGCCTTAAATAGTGAAGTGGACAAATCAAATACTCAGGTTACCCTTGAGGGGTTGCAGCCACCCTCACATACCCCTAAACAAAGCTTTTCCTCTAGCAATGGCTACAGCAGCTGCCTCACCGTTCTCCCAGAGCCCTGACCTGTCTCCCCTATCTTCCTGTAGCCTGTAAGTGAAGTGCAGAGTACAAATCAAAGTGTGAAAAGGAAGACCAATGCCCTCTAATTTCAGTACTTGCTCTGGTCTCATTAAAGGAGACCTCACCCTGCATGGATCTTTGGGAGGCAGGCAGAGGAGCAAACTGGCTATTTCAGCTCCAAGACTTTGCCTGCTCACTCAAATTGATAGCAATTTGCCTGTCCCTGGTGCAAGTCAGCACAGTCCTCCTGCACCAGCGTGGGGCCTGCTTCTTCACTGAGTGGGCTCTTGAGGGCAGGGGATTAGTGGATTAACATCTCTGATAACAGTGGAGCAGGGGGCACACGTCAGGGAAATTGACTGCTGACACAAAGCTTTGAAAAACACCCGAAGATGAACCCATATAAAGCTGGGAGCTATTTCCCTTTGTTATGGGCAAGTCCCATGCCTCCATGTATTCAACTTCTCCCTAAGCAAGTGCTTTGTGCAGGGAGAGAGATACAGAAAGTGACGGTTGTCCCTTCGAGGTGCTTTTTGGTCCACTGAAGTCCACAGAATTAAAGCAGTCATAAGTGCTTACCTGAGCCACTAGGCTCCTGTTTTCCTGCTCCAAAAAATTCCGCACCACACAGCTTTGTAAATGCCGTCTCCTCCACACCCTCCAGGCCTTTTCTATCAGCCGCTGCTGGTCCTGCCAGGAGAGAGGCAGCACACAGATGAGTTGGGCTCTGGCAGCCTAACTACCTCACTTCCCTTGCTTGCTTCCCACCTTGCTTCCAGTTCCTTTCCTGGGTCCCTCTTGAATGATTTTGCTTTGGTAACAAAAAAGCTGACTACTAACAAAGCTCTTGCTGAACTACTGTCTCCTGCAATATTGTGGCTAATTAAGCCACAGTACCCTGGGGAAAGGACAGTGCCCCACCAGTGCTCCGGCACAGCTCCTCGGTGACGACAGATGCGCTTGCTCTACGTGTGTCACCTCGTCCCACGGGCAGGTGAGAGCACATCTCACACCACCACCACCCAGGGAGCCAGACAGAACATGGGTCTGTTCTGTAGGTGGCCAGGGCCTGAGCAGAAAGGGAGGCCAAGTGACAGCCCTTGGGAGGCTGTGGACACCAGGGGGATGTATCAGGAACACAAATTGTAACACTTGCTGTGAACTTTTCGCACAGGCTACAGGCAATCTGTGCAATCCATCCCGTCTCAGTTTCCCATTTGTAAGATGGGGCAAAGCACAATTAAGTATGTGCATCTGCCAGTCTGCCATGCTGGCATTTCAAAGAGAAAGATGGCAAAAGTAGGCACTATAGCAAACCAGGATTTCTGGTGCGCACTGGAACTTGTTAAATCCCCAGGTCTCATCTCCCAGGATGTGTGTGAGGCTGGAAGCAGAGCAGGCTTGCCCAGTAACAGCCATCACCAACACTCTGGTGGCAGCACCAGATACTCACCAACACCTGAGCCAGCACCACCACCCTGCTGGCCTCTCTCCACTGATACCATGCCCTCGCCAGACAGCGCAGCCTCCTGTCCCGCTGGCACTGGCGAAGTGTCACTGTGTGATGCCACCACCTTAGATACTTCCTCCTGTAGGAAAGAGGGGAAAATAAGCATTATCAGCCCAACAGCTCTACAACAGAATCCTTCCCTGATAGCAGCAATCAGAAGAAACCCAGAGCCCTCCATTCCACTTACCCAAGCCACTTCTGATCCCTCTCCTCCAAGTCCACCTCTGCATTCTTCTCCTGGATCCTTGCAAGTGCAGGAGAGGGTCCTACCACACCAGGTCTCTCTACCAGGTGAGGGAGCAGTAGCCTTTCAGCCCTGTTTTGGTTTCTGTAGATCATCAGCCAGCGGTGAATGGCACTGGGAAAAAGCTCAAGAGGGACAGCTGGCGCTGAACCCTTTTCTCTGCCTCTTCTTTCTAAGAAAGAAAAGAGGAATCACACAGGAGCTAACCTCAGAGCTAGAGAGGGAGAGATCAGAGCTGCCATGAGCTCTTAGTCCTTTGGCTCCTGAGCACAGAAGGAACCCACAGAGTTCAACAGTTATCTGGCTGGCAAACACTATTCCCCTTCCCTCTTCACTCACGCTCCCCACATGGCCCCATGAAAGGAAGAGAGAAGGGGGCCATCTTCTTACTTATGGACCGAGACAGAGACATCTTCCTGCTCTTCCTGGCTCCTATCAGGGTACTGCACTGCCGTGAGCACTGGGAAAAGGCAGCTGCTTTGGTCCAGTAGTTGCAGGCCTGCAAACAGAAATAACACAGCTGCAGCCAAGACTAAACACAATGCACATGGACAGCACACACAAACTAGCCTTAGAGACACATTTATGTGTCTCTCCCTGCAGGTAGTTTAATGTGCTAGACCCCAGGCTGAAAACTGCACAGATGAGATCCCAGCAGGACTGACTCAGCCCTTCCAAATCAATCGACCTCTTTGTGGTTTGCTAGCTGTGAGCCTTTTGAAAAAAGCTGCAACTCTGACAGCTCGCTCTGCTCTGCAGGGACAGTGATTAGCCCATCTCATCTTTGAGCAGAGAGGAAGGAGTGCTCTCCTCTCTCTGGTCAAAATGTCCCCGTTCCTTGTTGCTGTGCTCCAGACAGTTGCTGCAATCAGTGCCAGATTATGGCGATGGAATCGCGTGCACAGTCTGTAAAGAATTTCAAGGCAGGGACTAAGCAGTCAGCACCAGTCAAACCCATGTTTTTACACAAGTCTTGTCACTGTGTCTCGGTGCCTAGTGACTCACCAAGGTCTTCACAAGAGAACAGGCAATTAGGAATAACTGTCTCATACAGATCTTCATCTTTTCTTACCTGTTTTACCGTAGCCACAGATCCCAGGCGCAGGGCTTGCTGTCCTCTGGAGGCCACTCGCCAGCGGTGACAGGCTTTGCCCTGAGAGGGTTCCTGCCACTTGTGGTTTCTCTCTCCCACCACCCGCTGTTGGACTCTCAACAATTTCACCCTCCACTCAGTAAAGCTCACAACTAGGAGATGGTGCTCTCTGAGCCTTTGAAAATGAGAGAGGGCTTCGTGCTGCCTCAGTCTACAAGCAGCGACCTGGGCCCAGGTGACGAGGCACCTGGAAAACAATACAAGCACAGAAAAGTGGGAGATGCCTAAAGCCACATTTCCCTGTCAGCACTGAACAGTCTATAGACCAAATTCCACCTTCTCATCCCACCCTGCAGCATTGCACCTAAGCGGTGGAAGCAAGTGAAAGAGCATTCAACAAGAAAAAATGTTGTTCTTATTATTCCTTCTGCAATCAGCACTTGCATATCTTTCTCTGTGTTCCTTATTTTTCCAGTGCCCTGTCCTTGGGAGGTGTAAGTTCAGACTTCTCACTACAGTTTCTTTCTACTAAAAACTTGCCCTCAGTCTGCTTTACATTCCCAGGACTGTTACCTCTCAAATCCTCAAAGCCTGGTAGTACATCTGCTTCTTTCTGGCCATTTTAGCATTTCCTTCTCTTCAAAGGCCTCCACAAACTGAATGCAATGTTACACTATGTTTTTCCTTTGCCTACAAACACACTAGGCTCCCCTGTCCCTACACATAGTGCATCCTTCAAAAAAAAAGAAAGGAAGGAATTAAATTAGTCACTCTTCAATCTTTCTCTGTGCCAGCAGATGACCTTTAGGATGATGCCTGAAGAAGGCTTTTTCCTTATGGGATGAGAATAAAACTGCTAAAATCTCCTTCAGCATGGAACCCAGCAGATTCCTTAAATCTGCCTGCTGCAGAACCAGGCTGCTTTTGAGACAGCAGCTTGTTGTAAAGATTCAGATTTTCATTTTTTTCTTGGCTGTCACAAACCAAGGGCCTGCGTACATGGCATGTGCAATGAGAATCTTTATGGAGACAATTTTATTCCAAAAAAAAATCAATGTCTATGGGAGTTACTATTAACAGCACTGTAAATCTGCACCCAGAATAATCTCTCTATATCTTGCAGGCTGACGCAGAGGAGGCCAGTCTTCCTCTGCAACCCCAGAAGCCAATCTGCTTTTAACTCCTGGCTTATCCTTTTGGTTCCTTGTTCCACTTGGACTTTCATTATGCAAATCACCCCACTGCACCATAGGGCAGAGGTGTAAATATCCTCTGCCTGGCAGGCTTCTCTGAAGATCAAGAGAATCTATTGCAGGTTATCCTAGCATGAAAAATGCCCCCCTCAGAAGAGACAGGGCTCAGCCTGTACCATATCCAGGTGAGAAATTAGAAGCGCTCTCTCATCAAAGGAGAACTCGGAAGGAAGATTAATGGTGGAGACGCACTCTACAGGAAGGAGAAACATTAAGGACTTCTCTCAAACACACTCCCCACTAGGGTGCCACCACACAGATTGATTTGCAGAAGAAAATGCAACTGGGTAGGGTGAGTGCGGAGCCTAAGCATCACAGCCACTAAGGTTTTACTGGGTTTTTAGTTGCTCTTTCCTTTGCAGATCTTTGTTTCCCCTCAGCCTGAACCTGCAATTCAAAAGGAAATCTGCTAGGGCTAAACCTGCTTTAAATGAATCCTTGGCATAAATAATCTTAATCATTCTTATCCTCCTGAATTATCTCCGAGATCCACGTGAGCAATTCCTGGTTCACTGCAGCTGGACACTGCTGCGTTTCAGGCAGACAGTAGCCTCACACAACAAAAACCACAAACAAAACAGATTTCAATGAGAAAGCTACTGAACAACAGCTAAGAGAGAAAAGTAGTTGTTAACGACTAGCAGCAGATGCCTTGCTCTTCAGATTAAATTCTTCTGTTTTCAGGATCTTCACCACAATATAAGACTCCAAAACATACTACAGCTTCACCTATATTGTAACTAACACCAAGATAAATCGAATATTGCAGTTCTCCCTTCACAGGCCTTACTGAATAGTGCTTTTCTACTTTTATTAAACTCAATTTTGCATATTAGTTTAAAATAAAATCAATATGCTGCCCCCAGAATCTAGAAAATTCAGGTTTTTAAACATCAAATCTCTGTAAGACCTCTTCTGCCCATTACCATTTCCACAAATACTGAATAATTCCAGTAGAAGTATGACTTTCAATTTTTTAAGCTACACAAATCTGTTGCACCTCCCTTCCTTAGTTTACAAATACCCCACTGCATAGCTAATACTGAACAGAAGTTCTGGAAAGAAGAGAAGTTTTGAATGAGAAGAACAAGATGGGGAGTGTGAGGCTAAGGGTAACAGACCCCTTGGTGTAGGAGCACCCCCAGGGAAGCACTCCTTCCGAACCTCCATTTACACACAAGTTAGCTGTGTGTTCAGACCCAAGCTCTGCTCTGAATACACTGCATTCTCTGCTACATAAATTGCTCCTCACTCAACGACTCCCTCAGAAATGCTTTCAGGGCAGGAAACAAACCTGTGCAGGAGAAGACGTTCCCAGAATAAAGCTGCATATTTCTGCTTCCTTGTTTGGCAATACCATGTCTGCAGGACCAGCCTCTTCTTCTCCCGGCAGCTGTGCTGAGCCCATCGCTGCTGCAGCTCTCTCAAAGCACGCTTCCCTGAGAGAACACAAGAGCTTGCTGAGTTGAGCCCAACAATTTTTTCCTTCCAGAGTCCAGACAAGAGCAAATGACACATCTGCTGCAAATACCAAATGGGACCAGGCTTCTAAGATTTTCTGTTGTCTCTTTAGCAGCTGAAGAGACTTTTCAACTCACCTTGTAGTTTTTGTCTACAAGGCAGTCAGACCTTATTTTATTTTTTTTCCCCCCGCCCTTCCCCAAGCAAGGGATCACAGATCACTTCCACTCTCATCTGCAAGGTGGTTTTCCATCCAAAATTGGGAGTTTCTTCCCTGGCAGTATTAGCACTTAAAGCACATGGAATCCCCTGAGTGATTGTTAAGCAACCACAAAAGATATACCCTGCTTCCTGCAAAGCCTGACTGTTGGATCTGCTCAAGCTTGGAATGCTGCAGCTGAACTCCATTTAACTCCTCAGCTGCTAAAACACACTGCTTGAGCACTCCTTTGGTAGTGCAGGTAAAGTGAGATCCACCCTTTTCCAATCAGCTGTCAAAGGAGCATCTCCTTTAGCATAAAGCACTACAAACCAGCAGGGCACGTGTCCTGCTTGTAATCACAAGAAGGCAGTGACACAAGCACTGACTAAACCCTGGACTAGCATGTGCCGTTCTAGAGAAGCAGTGGACAACCAGAAGTAGGACTTTCTCCATCCCAACCATTTCCACAGCATCCCCCCCTTACAGACACAAGTGCTGCTGTAGGAAGGGGTAACTCACTTTGCCAGCAGGAATGCCAACGCCACAGAGCATCAGCAGTCATCTGGTGAACGTGACACCTGAATCTCCGGTCAGCTTCCACTTTCTGGGCCAGCCTCCTCTTCCACAGGCTGAAAGCCATCTGGCAGCAATGAACTCGATGTTTTAGGGCTGCTGCTGCTTTTTGGTTCTTGTTTTCCATGACCCACTGGTGCCAGCTGAGAAAGGCTCTGAGAAAGACAAAGGTTGTTGCACCAACTCTAGGAACAACTCGCACAGACTCACACCCTTGTAACTGAAACTTTAACAATAAACATACACATGAGGGAGCTTAGGAAATACATCTGATCTGTTAACATCCTTTCCCCATTAAGTGTCAGGGAAAATGATGGACAAGGCAGGTTGTTGGGAGTAAGGTGCTCTGTCCTGGCTGTGCCAAGCCTTCAACTTCCGAATGAGCAGACAGCAAGGCCAGTTCAGTGGAGAGGAAGTTAGCAGGGGGCTTGTTATCAGTGGTGCTGGGCTTGCTCTAATTTGTGAGGCATCCCATCAAACCAGAAATTATGGTGTTCAGATATAATGATTTTAAAAGAGGAAAGACAACCCCAAAATAATGGCCTGCAAAACTCCCACTGAAGACAGAAAAAGATATCTAAAAGAATATTCTTTTTAAAAAAGCAAATATAGAGCTCTCAACAACAGCTTTAGGTAACTTCTGGAAAGCACAATGCCTACCGAGACAGCTGAACGAGCCTGCAGTACTGCTGGGCCTTTACAAGTTGCTGAGTTCGAGCTGACCAGACAATAAAGTACCTCTGCAGGCAGCATCTCTCTGCTTGGTGCCAGCAACTCTTCACCTCCTTGTCAGAACTGCAGTCCTGTAATCCAGAAAAGCAAAAAATGGCCTTGAACTGCTCCTGTAACACAGTCACTCCATGCAGCTCAGCCCTTCCTCCTTGCTGCTGTGACTTCTGTGGTTGCCTAACTCCCTGCTGCTAACCCCCCCACACCGCACGAACACCCAGACATGATGGTCTAACATATCCCTTTTAAATCCTTGACACACGGCCAATTTCCAACTCAGCTGGTAAATGGTAGGCAAGAGTTACTCTGAGAAATGCCTTAATCTCCTAAACCTTGGGAGATTAGAGAGAAGAGATAATAACAAAGAAAGAATAGCAGTGAGACCTTCCATACACTGATACTGAAACGCAAAGGCTCTTCACTAAATCGTGTGTTGCAGAAAACATTTGTACATTTCCATGCACTGTACCACTTCCCAGCCTTACCTCGTCCCATGGAGAGTAACCTGTGAGAGGCTGGACATTGTTGTCTGGACTCTGCAGTGCCAGTGACTGGAACTGACCTCCCACAAACCAATTTCTTCTGCAAGACAAAAGTGCCAGGGGAAAAGGGAAAGAAAGAAGAGGATAAAGCATCCGGAAGGATGCTGTGAGATGACATCAGGGACTGGCCGCAAGGAAGGAATTCAGCCAGACCAAACAAGGGGCAACTGCTACCAGCATCCCAAGGAACCAGTCTCCAACTTACCCATACCCAATACTCCGTGGAGGAAAGGATGCCTGCAAGTACAGGTCCCCTCCCAGCTCAGCTGGCAGCTCTGCGCACTGGTGTAGTTGCAGGAAAGAACTGTAATATGGCATGTGTGTGACATCCTCAGCAGGCAGAAGAGAGGAGAAGCTCTGCTGGCTGCTGTCACTAAAACTGTATTCCTGCAGGTATGGAGGGAAAAATGTGCTGTAAGGTAAGTGTCCTCACAATGAAATCACTTAGTTAAGTTATGACCTTGCCATTTACTCCTCTTTTTGCCAAGGATTCAGGAAAATCTAGTATGCATCCAAAGGAACTGCAGGCTAGCAAGTACAGCTCTGGACTGCAAACAGGTGAGTCATAGGGAAGTTATTTCTACACTAGTTATTTCAATACTGAGAAAAGGGGAAACAGGCATGGGCACTTTCTCAGCGATGAGGCTCTTTGTACCTCATCCCTTCCACCTTGCAGCCACAAACATGAGCAAGTGCACAAGAAAACCTCACTGAGAACTCACTCAGCACCTCCCCAGTCACTAAATGATGAACCAGGAAGGGTACAAGAGAAGTGACTTTACAATTGTTGATTACATTTCAAGGAGACTCTACACGCTTAGTGCTCTTCAGGCCTAAATACTAAGCACGACACACCTTGAAACAGAAATTTCCCCCTGCAGAATCCCAGCAATTTAATACCTCAGAGCAGTCTGGATGTATCAAGACCTCCTAACCTTTTCCAATGAGCTTTGAGAGGCCTGAGTAGCTGGAGCACTGCTGTCAAAACCAGAAGATGTTGAGAGGTCCTCAGAAAACAGCATGGCAAGAGGCTCTTCACAGACAGTCCTGTGCAAGTGCTTAGGACTTTGTTCAATTGTCTTCAGCATGAGGCACTTTTGGTGCCACAATTTCAGAGCTTTTCTGAGTCTACACTGCTCCAAAGTCTGAGAGAAAGAACTGAGACAGAATATATTGAGACAACAAAGTGATTGAAAAGGGATAGAGAGGGGGATACTAGTACAGACATGATGGATGCCAGAAGTAAAAGGGGTTCTTCCAGAAGGACCAGAAGGAAAGTCAAGTGGACACCACTAATGAGGGCAGGGCTCAGGAACTGGCTCTTCTTCACTCACTCAGCTCTGTGATGCTCGCACAGCCTTGCTTTCCACAGCAGATACACTCTCTGGAGCTCCACCTTTTGGCAGACGTCATCAAGAGAGTAGCCCATTTTCTCTGGAAACCGTCTCTCTACAGTCCACAATGGCTGATCTTCATGCCTTTGTGTCATAGATTTGTCAGCTACTGAGCTTATAACTGGACCTTAACCAGTTGCAGAGAGTGACAAGAGAGAAAGTTTGTCAGAAAGCATCCCTAACAAACTCAGCCCAGTGCTCAAAACGCTTCTTTTCAGCAAAGTTTAAGACTTTCTGCTAGGTTTATGAAGCGGAGCAACATATCTCCCTGTCATCTTCACTGTCATGTACAACAACTAGTCCTCTGTCTGCTCGCTCTAGTTTGTTAATACCACATATCATCTGAGTTTCTCTGTTACGGGATTGTTTTCAGCCGGTTTTCACCAAGACGAGGAAGAAGCCTAAGCACCTCCAAATCTAAGATCCTGCACAGACCCCAAGCTGCTTACCATAATGCTGCCGCCACTGGAGGAGGAAGTAGTTCACCATTGCCTGCTTATCATCTTCTCTGACCTGCAGCATCTGAAGCCACCGCTGGAAGTATTTCCTCAGTGATATTGCTCTGAGATGGGCCAGGCTGCACCTGTAAAGTGCCTTCTGCTCAACAGTCTCCTTCCATGCACTGAAGCACCTGAGAATACCAAGGGAAAATAAAACCACATGGAAAACCATGTAAAGAGTGTACACGTCTCCTCCTGAGACTGGGTTTAGTTCAGTAAAGACAGGCAGAAGTTGTCATCTTCTGAGCTTCCATTTGTTTATTTCATTAAAAAGCCACCATCATGCTTAGAGCACTGCAGCACTATGGCTGCTCTCAGATTTGGTATTTCAGGATATCAAAGGTAAGGACCAAAAATCTTTAGCAGTGTGTAGGAGGCAAGTCATAACATCTCTGGCCACAGTAGTTCATTTTCATGTTTCTACCCCTATTTTCATCTTTATTAACTCCTAAAACAAAATAATAGACAGCTTTAAGATGGAACAACCCATCACTGGATTGGCTCTATCATTTCTTGGACTTTCACAGTGAACTTTTCACATGAAAAATAGATCTCATCAACTTACCGGGAGACCAAGTTTCTTTGGATCTGAGTTCTCAGTGCTAAAATCTGTTCCATCTCCAAGCATCGGGAACGCCACAAACAGAAAGTGTTTCGTAGCTTCTTCTTTTTCAGGAGAGCCCGAGCTTCCAAAAGCCTGGCTTCCTCTTTGCTCAGTAGTTCCTTCTGTAGGCGCCACAGTCTGAAAGCTGCTGTGTTGCAGGGCAGGAAGAGATTGACGGGAAGAACAAGAACTTAGAAGAACTTTAAACTTAAGTGTCACACAACAAAAACCCCCTGGTTGAACTCTAGCTGCCTGAAAAAGGGCACCTAAGGGAGACAGCTCACATTGCTGGAGCAACAGCATCTGCTGCAGCTGAATTAATACGAGGAACAAGGCAAAAGGGGTATGACACAGTGAGTGGGGCACCCCCCACCATCACAGATACTGGCCCAGCTATTTGCAGGATCAGGTTCTAAAAGATTCAGGTCAAAGCAACAACTAGACACAAACCAAGAAACACAGTGAAATGGTGATTACCTCCAAGCAGTTCCAAAGCTATGGAACGTGTGCTTACCTGCTAGCTGCCTCATATCTCTGATTGCTTGAGCTCTCAAGCAGAACTCGTCTCCTCTCTGCTTACGATGAAGCTGTGTCCACAGACCTCCCTCCACCCTGAAAGAGCGACAAGCATGCTTTAACATCCTTCTGTCCAAAGAGGCACTCATAGAACAGAATCCAGAGCCCGTCTTTTCTCTAAGTAGCTCTCTCTTTTTGTCTGGACCTGTTCTTCTGTCTTCAGAATCAGAGGGCACAACAAAAAGGTATTTCTTTTGACACCTCTTCTGTCCTGCTAGAGACCAAATCTCATTCACACCTGTATCACATAAGCAGGTGATAGCTGAACTCGGGAAATAGTACAGGAGTATTTCTGTCAGACACCCAAATCAGACTGAAAACACTACTGCACAGAAGCTCTGAAATAGGATTGTTTCATTCTTAAAACTAATTTATTAATTCTTGCAGTGCTTATCTGCAGCAATATATCCAAGGACCCGGAAACAAGTTTCCCCCCATTTGAGAAAAAGTTCTCTGTGTGTTTCTAAACCTCCACTTGTCCAAGATAACAGGAAGAGAATGCTCTCAGCTTACCTACAAGCCTGCTCAGCTTCTTTTGAGTATCCTACTGTAAGCTGCTGCTGAGCTGAGGTTGTCATAGTTGCTAATCTTCCTACTCCAAAAAATCCCACCGATGAACTTTGGGTACAAGAATATGGCTCAGGCAGTAGAGGTTGATTCTTGCTCTGTTTTACCACAGCTTCCTTCCACTGAAGGAGAAACCACAGCATTAGAACAAACTGCAGGCACAGTACCAGTATCAGGGTCCACATTGCTGAATTTCATACAGGGTACCCCTTCCTCCTCCCTGTCCAAATAGGATTTCTGCCTTTTCTGACTGCACAACAGAAAACTCATGGCTTCTACTGTCCCTTGCCCATCCTCACCCTGCGAAAGCTGACAGCTAGCAGAGCCCAGGCGTGTCTCTGCCGAGCTACCTCCAGCTGCATCCTCCTCTGGTGCACAGCCCACTTCAAAGCACCAAGGCCCTTCCGAAGCAGTTGCTGTCTGTAAAGCTGCCTGGCTGCAGCTCTTTTCCAGAGGATGTGTCCCCTCCATGCTTGGAAACATTTAGTTAGCATTTCTCTGTCACACAAGTGCTGGAAACTTAAAGAGAAAAAACCAAAAGTGAGCTCCAGTTAACAGAAAGGAAAGTCAAACACAGCCAGGAGGTGGCAATCGAAATTCAACTGTCAAGCTGAAAAAAGGTATTTCAAATCATTCTAAAGGGTGAAAAACCTGCAGTCTCACACCAATTTAAGGTATCACTGTTACTAAATTGGTAGCAATCACACACATCTTATCCAGAGATCAAAAATTTGAATCCCATCTGATGGATAAGCCCAGTTCTTGATCTTTGCTAACTATGCAGTGAGCATGCTGGGTATTGCTGCACTGAAAAGTAGCATATATGGTAGCAATGCTTTTTCACTGTTAGCAACAGCCAATGATGAATTTAGAAGCTGGAATTTAAAGGATACAGAAATTATTTTTTAGAGCATGTTCCATTCTAGATGGCAACTCTTTGAAAACAAATGAATATAGCCTCTGAGCCAACCATGGCAGAATAATGTAGGTTAAGTCTTTACCTTACTTACCTAAGGTAAGTTTTCCTCCCCTGTTAACTACCAGCACATTGATATATAAACACAGAGTCTTTTTACCTTTGCTCATTCACCTTCAATGACCAGAAGCTGTTCTCTGAGACCTGTAAACAGACAAAAGACAGTAACTCACATGATTATTCACAGTACTCTGTTGAAGGATTTGTCTGTGCCCAGCATGGTAATTCATTTTGGATGGAGACCAGAACAATGCTGCCTCAGGACAGTGTTATTACATCAGATGCCTTTGACACTGCCCCTACCACTGCTCTGGTGAATACTCTCACATGATTCAGACACAGAAAAGCACAACAAAATGGAAATGTCAGGGCCCTGCAACTATGCAAAGAGTAAAAACCAGTTTAGTGCTTTCCCTCTGCAAGTAGATACAGAGAATATAAATAGGTGTTCACATTCCCAAGAACAACCAAGTTAATGAGCTGTTCTTTAGGAAGAAGCCTGCACACAGAAAGATGCATATGTTGGGATGGAGCAGGGCCATAAGAGAGGAAAATCTGGCCATTCAGTGCCAGAAAAAACTGTAGGACAAGCATCCCCATCAAGTCTGCACCTCTAGCAAGAAGTGGAAAGAAGCACAAGTAATATCTGTAAACAGGGATGCTACGCAGTGAGTACACCCTTACCTCTCTGGACACAGTGTCCTGTGTCTGGTTTCCTTCTTCACAGCACTGTGGTTCTTTGGCACTCCTCTCTGCAGAAGGTTCTTCAGACTGGTCGAGATTGGCATCAGCGTCCCAATTCTTCCAGCTGCTTTGGTGGGAGTGTTTGTTTCTCCTTACTTCTCTGCTCACATTCATGTCAGAATGTCCACCATAGCCTTCTTCAACGTGAATACCGAAAGGGCTGGACTGGCTGCTGCCCACCAGACCCACTCTTCTGGCTGCTCGTGATCTAGAGTCACATACCTCTCCCGACTCTTTGCTGGACTTAACACGAGGTTCAGATTTGTTGACTCCTACAGATTTAATACTAAGCTGCTGGACTGGTCTGAACTCTTTCTCTCCAGGAGGAGAAGTGACTCTCACGCACACTTCCCTTGGGGTCCCATACATGGCTACACCAACATTCATTTGAGCACCCCCCAAATCTGTCTCTAGTGACACCTGCAAACCCTCTGGACACAAACTGGCTGGAAGGTCTTTCTTCTGAGATGCAGCACATGGGGATGCCCCATCAGATGTCTCTTTGCCTTTAAGAACCTTTCCAGGGGAATGACTTTTTGTATGAACATAAAGACTACCAGTTTCCATAGTTGGCTTTGCCTGGGACTGGCATCTGAAATAAGGGGAGCAACTGTAGAGGGAATCTGCTTCTGTATCCACTAGCCTGCCAGAGCCCACCCCAGAAGAGTGGGTTTTTGGCTGGATGTCACCTGAAATTTTGGTTCTCCATGTATTTGAGTCAATGTACCCATATCTGTGAGAGACAGAGAGAGGTTCTGCACAACTGAAGTCCCTTGTCACTGCACCAAGGCTCCAGTCTTTAGCAAATGGGACACCCCATTTCAGTCTTGCCTGAGCAGCACTGGTCTTCACTCCAGCTAGCTGTTCTCCTATGCTCAGGATACTAGGAGATGAATCATCAGCAGCAAAGCAGAAACTGCCACTGACTGGAGAAGACTTGGGCTCCAGAGGGACAGAGCCCCTTATCCCCATCAAAGCAGTTTCTTGCTTAAGCCTCTGGATGGAACAGTACAAGCCAGCAGAAATCTGTGAGGACTGCAAAATAGATTGAAGGGACTCCAAACTAGATGGATCGAGATCCCCCAAGGTCAGGGCTGAACTACAACAAGCATTCACACTTTTACTTGAGCTCCTTGAAGGAGGACACACTACTGATTTGTCCCTGAGAGGGGAATCTACAGTACAAGATAACAAGCGTGCATTGACCAGTGAAGGGTTCACAGGATCCATACAAGAAGCAGCAAGAGGCTGATGCTGTTGTTTTTCAACAGGATAATCACTATTCTTGTTCCTATTTTCTAAGCAGCGATGACGAGCAGTGAGTATGGAGCAGCTACCAGCTACCTTTGCTTTCTGATGGTGGTGTCGAGGAAAGTCAATACTCTTACCCCTTCTCCTTTCTAAACTGTAAGTCTCAAAGTGTGAGTGTTTCTGAGGGAGATTCACAGCAGGGAGCGCTGACAAAGCGAGATGGGGAATCCTGTGAGCCACACACTTTGAGCTGTGCTGCTGCAGCCTAGGGCACAGATTATTCTGCTGCAAGGAGCAGGAACTGGAGAACTGACCGGTGGTGTCCTGGAACGGCTGAGAAGGGCAGGAGAGATTAGTCTTTCTCAGACTAGGATCTCTCTTCCCAGCTGGCAGAGGTGTTGTACACAGACGGCCTTGTTCTGCTGCCTGGCTGGGAGTTACACTGAACGCCGCAGCCTCAAACCAGCGATGAGAAACGTCCACTGGACTTCTAGTGCCCAAATACAGATCAACATTCACATTCTTCTGAATGTTTCTTTGCTCTGAAGAAAAATAAGAAGAAATATAAACAAAGGAGCATGCGTATTTCTCCTCATATCTTGCCTAGTTTGCCAAAGGCTTTGGGTACTTTCCTTATGAATTTCTTGTCTCCAGTCCACCAGCCTCAGTCCTGAAAGCATTACAGACACTACTGTCCTCCTGTTTCTCAGCAGACAATCATGTCTGGCAGAGCAGGAATGACTGAAGGGGACAGATTCAGTTCTCAACAGAAAACCTGGAAAACAAAGACTTCCAGCATTATGCATGCACCTGCAGCCTCAAAAAGAACTTGCTGCTAGGAAGGCCAAACGGTCCTGCTGCCAAAACAAGGTGGTCTGTGGCCACTTTTCTGGAATGCTTTATATCTAACCAGATCTACATGGCAGCAAACAAGAACAGGTCTAAAAGAACGTGTTTTTACAGAAGTCAGAGCAACATGGTTCCAGCTGGAGTACAATGCTTACCCCTCTTCACTGATTGGAAATCCAGCTCGGATCTCCTCCACGCTTGCATCTTCTCCAGGGCTGATAGGAGAGGTAGTGCCTCTACCTAAGGTACTGTTTAACCGCTTAACAAGTGAAAATATGCCCATGTATTATGCTACAGCCCTGCAAATGTTCAAGGCTATGCAGGCAAAATTCTTCTTGTCCACCCTAAAGCATGAAACCATGTTTAGACATCCAGAGAATCTATATCGTCCTCTAACCTGGAAGAGTCACAGGACAGATGGAAGACCTACTTTGCAGTCTAACTGCTAAGTCAGATGGTTACACATTTAACACTGGTCCTGAGCTCTGATTTGTAAGTTGCTGCTAACAGGTAAGTGCAATTTGAGGGCACTGCGCTTTCATTCCCTCAAGTCTTAAAAGCAAGATGTCAATCACGCTGTCATTCTAACCACCATTCTTTTCCACTTTCCTTTTAAAAAATGAAAATGGCATTGTGAAGAGACACACATACCTATACCAGCATAAAAAACCCCAGTCACTCTGAAAAGAAAGAAATAACACAGCCTGTGAAATCAATGCCCGTTGCCTTTTTCAAACATACTCGAATACCAGAAAGCCTCTTGTCAAATTGCACTCTGTTTCCAGACTATGTTTATCTCTTCTAAGTTGCTTTTCTAAGAAAGCATGTGACTCTCAGTCATCCCTGTTTGCAAACAGCCCGCTTGTCCTCACATGCAGACTCTTGCAATAATCAGCACAAACTGGGGAGTAAACTCAATTACTAAAGCAACAGGAGATAGTAATGGAGTGTTGTAATTATCCTTGGGAACTGCCATTAATGCTTCTCATACATCACTAACTGTACCATGAACAGAAAGATCTCATTATTTTTTCCAGACAAGTAGAAGTCGGCAATTACAGAGTGAACGGAGAAAGCATGGCTGCCTTCTTTAGGGTGCCTATCACTGCATGAAGTATAACCACAAAATGCAGCTGACTGGTGTTCCACAGAAGCACGCCTTGCATCCCAGGAATATCTAGCCAACTAATAATGCATCACAAGAGGGTGTTATAAAGGATTTGAATTATGAAAGAACATAAAACCATCGTGTTTATCATTGCTGTTTTGCTCCATGAACACCTGGAACCCGGCACTGGACTACTACTATGCTCAAGAACCTAGACATACCTATTTTCTTTATAACTCATTTGATCTTTTTAGTTCTCCATTTCAGTTCTTTCTGCCAGGTATCAAGTTGTCAACACATTGCTGTATTATTTTAGGCACTGTTCTTCACCTCACTCGTGTCTAATTTCAGTCTCACTGAGATTAGGAAGACATAGCATCCTTTAAAAATCATGTTTGTCTTCCCAAATTTGCCATTCATGACTTGAACATAGCCACTTTTAAGCAGCAGTTAATCTTACTCAAAGGGCAACAAGATTTTATGAAGTGCTTTTTAAAAACTTCTGCTAAGACCAAAAGAGATACTTGAGGCAAGCCAGAGATTTTGTGAACTGCAAAATCCATGACCAATGGATTTCATATTAGCTTTGATGTTTCCAACCAAAACATTTAACGCATGCTTACTATGTACACTTTGCAGCAACACACTAATGCATTAAAACTTAAAAGAAATACAATTAAGCTAACAAAAATTAAGCTGATCAACATACTTCTGTTGTTTTAAGCAAAAGGAAATAGCACAGTTCAGGAAAGTAAATGAAGCTCTTTCAAGTGAATGCCGTTTTAGCATTACAATGACAATGAGAGACCCATAATAAACACATGGGCACCCTACAGACAATGCTTATTTTCCCACCCCTGCAGACCAAGGCTGGTCCATTTCATGTTCCAAGTTGGGACCAGGGATTGAGCTGAGATCACGCTTCAGGTGCCTCAGAAACAAGGGTTTTCCCCCACTGCTCAGTCATCACTGCCATCACATGAGACTCTCGTTACCACTTCAACATCAACAGGCACACACAAGCACTCTTCCCTTAACCAGTTATTACTCCAGAAGCTGAGGAACAGCCACCCAGCAGCTCCCTTCGCATCCTTCCATCCATCCAAGAACCAACCAGTATCCCAGGACATGGTGGTGGGAGCGGCAGGGCCATCACCCACAGCCCCAGCCCAGGGGAGCCATTTCAGGCCCGTTCTCAGCTGCCATGGCTGGGCACACACCCCAGACCCCGCTCAGCATCCCCAATGGCTCCCAGCGTTCTCAATGGGTGCAGATGCACCTCTCCTCATTGGCACTTACTCACTCTGATAGCCGCCACTGCTGGACATGCCACTGGGCCTCGCCAGAACCTCAGGGATGGGACACTCGACTCTCTGTGCCTGCACCTCCTTTGCAAGAACAGACCCACAGCTTTGTCCCCCCTTAATGCCCCAAACCCCACGCGTTCCAGCTGGGTCACTGTAAGCAGCTTATCCCCCAGCGATTAGCAACGCCGCCTGCCACCGGGGCTGCAGATGGCCACTGGAAAGCCGCTCTCGCCCCCAGCTAATTAAAGCAGTGGCCTGAGGGCAGCCCTGATGAGGTGGGGCCCAGCAGGCCAGGGCAGCTCACCCAGGGGAGGTGATGGGATACCTGCGAGAGGCACCACTCGCCTCAGGAGAGGGGGAATGTCTTCCTCCTCGCCCATGAGGAGCTCCAAACATGCCATGTCCCAGCTCCTGTCAGCAGTGCTGGGCCCTGTGGCCATCTCCAAGAGAGCATGGGGGAGCCCAGAATGGCCTGATGATGAGGTGTGAGGCTGGGCGGGCAGAGCCCCGTCCGTTGGGGCCAGCTGGCCTGAGGGACACTGCTGCTGAGGGAGGCACCTGAACCAGGTTGTGGCTAATTAGCTCATCACCAAAAAAAAAACAAACCAACAAACCAACCCCTGCCACATCAGCACCTGAGGATTTCAAAAAAAACCAAAGCAATCAAACCCACCTGAGCAGAGTATTGCTTTTCAGTGGTGCCCAGCAACAGGACAAGGGGCAACAGTCGCAAACTGGAAGACAGGAATTTCCATCTGAACATGAGGAAAAACTTCTTTGCTTTGAGGGCGACAGAGCACTGGAACAGGCTGCATGGAGAGCCTGCGGAGTCTCCTTCTCTGGAGATACTAAAAACCTGCCTGGATGTGTTCCTGTGCAACCTGCTCTGGGTGACCCTGCTTTGGGTCACCCCCACGGATGAGATGATCTCTGAAGGCCCCTTCCAAGCCCCGCCATTTTGTGATTGCACTGTTCCCCATCTGGCTGAGGAGACCCCGCTGACAAGCCCGGAGGAGCCCCGCGGTGAAGCCAGGCTGCCCAGATCAGCAAGGCCCTGCTCCAGCACAACAGGCCCCATGAATCCCCACAGGCCCTGCTAAACCAGGTATGGATCCAAGAGCGCCACGGTGCTTGCTGTAAGCTGTGCTGAAACAAACACCCTCCTCCTCCTCGGAAAGCCAGGAGAAGGGCCTCAGTTTTATCCTCACCTCTCTGATTTACTGCCCAAAATACGTATTCTTGAGGCACAGTAAGCGGGGCTTAACTCCTGCCTTGCTCTGCTCCCCTGAGCTCCCAGATTCTCACAGGTCTTCCTAGCACTAGTATTTTTATTCTGCCAAAGCTGACATACTCTTTTTCTTCTGAAAAAAAATCCTGTTGAACAGCTTTTTTTTAGGATTTTACCCTGAAAGCTACAGCAGGGCAGATTAGTGTGTGTAATATTAGAGTTTATAGTTTGTCACACCCCACAGAGCTCACCACTGCACTGTAAATAAACCCATCTTTTCCTTTCCCCAATCCTCATTTTACTAACCCACCTTCACCACCCACACATCTACAAGCAATATGCTCTACTCGTCTGAGTAAAGCTTACACTAAAAGCCATCAAAGCCCTGTAGATCTTCCCCCATAACAACACTCCCAGACTGCCTGGCTACCGTCCTAAACCCTCAAAAACACATTTTGAAATGAGACATAGGTGACCAGCATAACTCTTTCTAACACAGAAAAACTGTGTTCATTTTATAGTTTTCTTAGAAAAAAATATAACATTTCAAGTTCTGTTAAGATAGGCAGCTGAAGGAAAAAGGACATTTCAAGGCACAGAGTATAACCTATATTCAACAGCCATTTTAAGTATCCTGACGGACATTCAACTTGCATAAAAGCATCAGTGAATAAAACCCAAAAATTAGATACTGGGAGCACAAGCACCTGGCCCAGTAAGAGCATTTTATACCAACCCCAGCTTTGTGCAAACCACCACAGCTAGCAGAGGGAGTTATGGTCATAAATCTTAAGTAACACCATCAAAAACAGCCATCAGGAACTCCCAGATGTTTCCTGAAAATGTATATGCATAAAAGTAGGGTAAACTGTATTGTTTAAGGGCAGTCCATAACCATTTTAAAGGAAGCTTGTCCAGGAATATTTTGAGTGGTTCCCTTACAATAGAGAAGATGCACAAGACAAGATTTTGAAGACCACAGAAGGTGCATCCACTCACACAGAGGGGGAGGGAGGAGAGTACTGGGATTACAGAGAGTCACAGTGCTTAAGATGACATCTCTGAGATCTTCTGGGCTTACTGCAGGAACCCATCTCCCTAACCTTCAGGGAGGCAAAGAAATGTAAAATCATATCATCTCCTCTTTGCTCAGTAGCAGGTCTTGCTCCATGGGAATGGACATGGGAAGAGCGGAAGGTTAGACTGGGAGACTGGGCGAGGGAAGTGTCTGTTCTGGTGCAGAGAGGGCATCAGTACGGCTGCTGGGTTGTCTTGCTTGAGTCAGGCCACTGTGGAGGAGCATCCTGCTGATCAATTGGCTCATAGGTGCTGCGATCCCGGCCCGCACGGGTGACACCTGAGTGGAGAGGGAAGAGAACAAGATTGGGAAAAAAAACAAAAGCACAAGAACCAAATCCCCTAGAAGAAACCAACAGCACAGGAACACACCACATTAGCTGCTCCATCAGCTCCTGTGTTCTGTGATCCTCGCAGGAGGTAAGAAAACTCATCCTTCCATCAAAGGCAAAATAACTGAGATGCATTTTAACATGCCTCTTCATTCCCTGAGAACTGCTCTCTTAGTAGCCACATGGCTGTGTAGAAAGCAAGACCCGCAGTACTATACAGGAGCAGAACAGGCTCCTGTAATAGCATATTGCAGCAAGATAACTTTATGAAATCTAGTGGAAAAATGAACAGACAAAACCAGAAGCAGCAGGAACCTTGGCTAGCCCACGGCACAGATTTAAGAGCATGATTCATCCATGAACCACTCTTCCCAACAATGCAACTATGCCTCAAGTGTGCCACACTACGGCACTAAATTTGAATCAGCAGGGCTCCCAATTACACTATGAACAATTTGCTTGTGCCACAAGAATGGTGCAAAAATCATGTTACTGTCCAGGGCATGAGTGGGGAAAGGAGACAGAAAATGTGCACAGACAGCTCTTTATCTATAGGGCGGGCATCTGCCATGGTTAGAAAGCAATCTGAATCAAAGGTGGGTATCAAACCACATCAGAGGCTTATTCTAAGCAGCAAGGATGCTGTCAAGCAACAAATAAGGATTTTGTGTGGAAAGAAAATGAGACAAAGACCAGGAAAAATGTAACACTGTCAGGTCCTAAAGGAAAATGCCACATAGCAAAAAAATGGGAGAGGGAATCTGTCAACCATGTTCTACAAAACAACAGCATACAGTTTGTACTGAAAATCTTGTGAAAGACAGTTCAGCAGAAGCTATGAAACTACAAAGTGTCTGAATTCCAACCTCTGCCTGAGAGAAGACTCTGAGACAGTGTCACGCCTGTGTTGGGATAGTGTAGCTGAAAAGGAGTGCTCCCAAATTCCAAGCAAAGGGATGAACTCCTAAATGAACTTTTACACTTCCCATGGGATCCAAATGTCAAATCGCAGTTACAAGCACAGTTAACAGCTTGTAAAAATTGGCACAAACATGGCCCACAGCAAGGCACTGCAGTTGAGTCACAGGCCTTCTGACCCAGTTAAGATAGATCTGTCTGGCATTTGCACAAGGAGCTGATGGAGAAGACATCCACCTTCCACTAGCAGAGAGATGCAAACAGCACATATTGCCACGGTTTCCTTCCATGGCCTCTCCTCCTCTGCAGGTATCCACCTCTTTTCACAGGAAGCGTTATCTTCTTTGCTAGCACCAAAGCAGCACAAAGGACAGTTTTCAAAGACTGTCATGCAGTTATAACACCCTTTGTCCTGCATGGCCTTTTTAGGATGGCAAGAAGATAACTGTGCCAGGCTGATGGTCTTGCCAGGGTGGACTCCCACACAGCAAACAATCGCTGGCAGCTGCCCTGGGTGAACTAGCACCAGGCATGCTTGGCAAAGAAGCTGAGACCCAGACCATGCAGCCACAGCCCCTCCTCTCTGGCAAGGCTGCCACATTACCATTAGCATGTACAACCAGGAGAAAAATGAGTGACTCCAGGCAAAGTCCCACAAGGTAAACATCAGACCCATTTTCCAGGTGAGGAAATGGAGGTCCAAAGCAATTAAGGTAGCTAGGACATGTGAGGCCCAGAGAAAGCATGGAGTTAGAAATACAGCTTCCTTCCCTCTCATGCATAATCCAGCTAGAGGGGATGCTGCCTCTACTTTCCCCCAGAAGGAAAGGAAGGGGTTGGGAAAGAGAGAGGGACACCCAAAGGCTTCCAACAAGCACCCACAATGCAGGAGGAGGAAAGCCTCTCAGTTACACTAAGAGAGACAACAGTCTTCTCAGTACCATTGTGGGCAAAATGGCTGTCAGATGAGGACTCCAGGTCTGCAAGGGAAGAGAGGAAGAATGTAAATTTAAGGCCTAAGACACACCAGAACCACAAATGGGAGAACAGACATGGGCAAGAGAGAGAGTGCAACCCCCCTCCCTGAAAAAGGGAGAAACCAGCTGCATGGAGCTCAGACTGAAGGGTCCAACGTGCAAGGCAGTGTCCCTAACACCAGACGAGGAAGAGGAACCATCCTACCTATGTTAAAGGTGTACTCTCCTCCACGCTCCCGGTACATGCGATACACCAAATAGCAGGACACAGGTTTAAGGAGGAGGCTGAAGATGGCCATGCCTATACTGAAACGCCTCACATCAGTGAGATAGTTGTTTGAAGGGTAGAAGACAGAGATGTGAATGATGTCTGTGAGGACTGTGAGCAGCAGGCCAGTCAGGAACTGGAAACAAAGAGAGAATGGGACAGGAACTCAATAAGGGATTAACAACTAGAAGCAACAACTTCTATTTCCTGCGAGAGATCTGTGTTCACTTAATCATGCCTTCACCCCAGTATCACACATGGCTAACCCTTAACACTGCCCCAGGTAGACAAGAGATTCCTAAAGGAATGGTTTTGTACTTCATGCATTTTCTTCACATCTGTCAGACACCTTCTCATGATATGCTCCAGGATTGTTTATTTTTGTTTGTCAATCTCTTTAATGTTCAGAGAAGGTGAAATAGCCCTCCAACTCAAGCATATTCAACACTTTGAGTCCTCCTCTGGCATTACATGTCACAACAGCAGGTAAAAAAAAGTAAGAATCAAGTATGTCTCACCTCTGAAAAGCAAAATAAGTGACAGAGAATGCTTTTCACCATGGTTTACAGTGCTTATAGATTTATACACTTTCTTAAAAACAAACAAACAAACCAAACCAAATAGGGAATTTGACTTGTTCACTGCTGTATTAGGACCAGCTGAAAATCATCACTGACTCAAATAAGCTGTCTCTGCCCTCCACCCTCTCCCCGAGCAGCCTGGTGGAGGCAAATGCCCTCACACTCACCATCATGATGGCATCCAGGGAATCTCGCTGCACAATGGCCCAGATCCCCACTGCAAGGACACTGAAATTTCCCCAGGCATAGGAGCCTGGAAAAATGTAATTCATGCATCCCCTGTCAAATAAGACAAAAAATAACCCAGCCTACATTCACAATAAGCCTTCAACAGTTTGTCAGCATTCATCCCTGTTCCCACACAAACATCTCACTTAAATTTAGGATCTTTTTGCACACAGACAGGCACAAACAAGGAGTGCTGATCCCCAAGAATGTCCCATCCCTAGTTTGAAGGAAAACCCTCTTCTCACCCAGGCCAGGCCAGGCACCAATCACTTACCACACTGTGAGCAGCCAGTGTACCAGAATGATGGCCTATGGAAAAAAAAAAACAGAGGAAAGACAGGTCAGCAAGTTGGGAGAACTGTGGAAGGATCAATGTGAAATGACACCATCTTGTTTCCAAGGGATGGGTAGAAGAGTGCTCTGAACCCAGGAGCCAGTGCAGAAAGCTGGTGTAGCAACTGGTAGAGTGAAGACACAAACCCATTTTTCTCTGCTTCTGTTGCTGAGTATTTCCTGTGGTGCTACACTGTAGTCATTCATTATTGTTGTCATCTCTGTCGACAGTTGATTCAGGGCCCACTTAGTCTTTTCTAAATGGATTATTGATTTTGGAACTCCAGAAGAGTTTGTACAGAAAGCCAGGCAATCCGATTCACGCTACGCTAGCACAGTTTATACATGACCAATCTAGCGCCCCACTACCAAGAAGCCCATTGAAAGCCATGCCTGCAGTGCCCAGCAATGTCACTCCACTCCACAGTAAATCCTTTCTTTACCTCCTGCCAGTCTGCTCAGAGCAGTGGTTCAACCTCACTGCAATATTAACAGACCTGAAGGCACCTGAGAACCCGATCTTGCCATAGTATGCAGCTCTTTGCTCTGCTTGCAGTGCCCTAAGTAGCAATAAGATAATGCTGTCACAGATTCCATACTTTGCAAATGTCCTTAATGATCCTGATCCTTGTGCTCAAGGGGACAGATCCAAGAAGAAAGCATCTTATTGTAACAAGTGACACAAGGATTCTGTTCACCAGCACTTGACATTTATGTAACCAAGGAGACATACTCTACACGTTTATTAAGACAGCAAATGGGAACAAGAATATACCTCTTCAGTCTTTTTCTATCCCTATATCCATGCACTCGCTTGCTTTGCTCACTGGCCTGCTGGCCAACAGCACAGGGAGATGGCTCATTTTCACTCATTTCACATTTGTGAAAGCAAGAATATGGAAGACAGGCTCTATCAGCAGCCTCATAAAAGAAAGGCTGAACCTTGCACATATCAGAGGATCCATGGGAAACAGGCACTCTTGCTTTTTTATAGCTGTGAGAAAGGCTCCAACTAGCATTTATACTGACCTCGATATAAAAAATAAAACAGAACCAAACAACCCACCACCAAAAGCCTTCTGAAGCACACTCTCCCTACATACTCCTACAGAAACAACAACAACAACAACAACAAAATGAAAAGAAAAAAAAAAGAAATAAAAAAAATACTAAGATTTACTGACATCCTGCTATGTTCACTGACTTAGGACATCTATCCATGCTCTAACTCAATACAAAACTAGTTGCTCGAGAAGAGAGTTAATAACCAATGAAGCTGTGACATGAGTGAAGAGCAGCCAGGACACCAACGGGAGTGAGGCGTGTGCTGTGGGTCCCACTGCTCTGCCCGGGTACCACACTGGAGATGTCTCAGGGTAAGGCAGGGCTCTTGCTTCACTGCAGTACCCTAACACATCTGCAGAGCAGTCACCCTGAGTAGCCTAGACTTTGTCGTAACTTCAAACGCTGTTTAAACAGATTTTTATTAATGATTTTTTTTTTAATTGTTCACGAAAGCCTACAAAATGCTTCCCCACTACCCCCCCTTTCCCTTCTCCCAAATTGCACCATGGAGATCAGGCAAAAACTGCTAATCGGTAAAATACAAGATGTTCTCGGATAAGAATGGAGACATGCAAATAGCATTTACTCAAGAGACTATCACAACATCAGGGAAATTCTTAATTAGGTAGTATTTAATTGCATGTTACATACCCACAAGACCCCTCAAGGCTCACCAGTTAACATAATTAGGCAGGCTGGCTTTTTTTAATAAAAGCTGTCGAGATCAATATTGCAGTTACTAAATTATGAAGCAAGCTTAGTCGTCAGGTAAAGTAGGGCTGATAGTATGAGGGGCTGCTGAAACAGAAACAAGGCATTCCCTTCCTGGTTATTAGTCCAACTTCCCTGACAGTTCTTCAGGGCGCTATGGAATAAACTCATGGGTTTGGTAGGCTTTAACACAGAAAATATAGTGTTAACGAAGAACATTTTTTAAAGCTACAGTCACTATGTGAGATTAGGTAATTTGCAGTCTCCTGATGAGACAACAGAAGAATTTAAATTTTTTCCATCTGTTCAAGGACTTGAGTCTGTACCTCAGAAAGGCATACATTTCTTCATTTAAGAAAGTAACTCCTAAGACTGGAACTCGTGCTGAGAGCAGAAAATAAGAAAAGTGGGACTTTTGTCCCCATCCCTTCTGGGCAGAAGGATGACCATGTATGAAAAGCATCCCACTGGAAACTGGGGAGAGCTTGGGGGGATTCCTGGCTCCTCTACAAATCCCAGCATGTGATGGAACTAGTTGTCAAGTATAAAAAGATTCTGGGTCTGCCTGGGTCCTATTACATGGGAAACTCTTTGGAACAAGAACTCACTCCTTTAAACATGTTTCAGCACAAAGCCTAGCATAAAGTTGAATTTTGAGTAAGTTAAAAATTACTTAGTTCCAAATTACAATGATTTTATTGTAGTATCTAACTCCTTGTATTTTACTTTTTTCTTTTTTTGAGAGTGAGTTCACCTACTCTGTGAATGACATATTCACCTGAGTATATACTAACCAAAATAGAGATCTCAGTGGCCACCTGTGAGTGAGCCACCTGTGAGGATGTTCCTCATTATTATAACAGAGTGATACTAATGAGAGTGGTTATGCAGTGGAACAGGCTACCCAATGGGGTTGGCGTGGTTCTATCCTTAGAGATTTTTAGAAATTTTTAAAAGTCAGCTGAATTTTGAGTTGAGCTATTTGATCTAACTTTGAAGCTAGCTTTGCTTTGAGCAGCAAGTTGGACTAGAGGACACACAGAGGCTCCCTTTAGTTAAATTATTCTGTGACCTAGCATTTAAAAATGCCCAAGAACAAAACGTGTGTGTCCAGGCACATGGATTGTAGGGCATTTCCCAGGCTCAATCAAACTCGAACTTTGTATTTCAAGGCTCTCCATAGTTAGTGCAATAATCCTAGGTGTCAAAGCGTTCGCTGCAAAACTACGGCTATGCTGCTTCCCACATTATTATTCCCACATATTAGAGCAGTAGATGCTGTTTCACAAGCACGTTCCTCATCCACTGTAGGGCAAAGCCTGCTACATTAATTTTATAGCTCTGCAAGTAGCTTAAAGAGAGACCTCGAGGCTAAGACATTGCTGTGTTCTGGCACAAACACAGCTCAGTCACGCAGTTTTCTTGGAGCTGCTTCTATCATGAAGCTCATCTTTTTTTAATCTCACAGAAACTGTAAGCAGATCATGCCAATGAATAGCTATAGTGTGTGTTGTTTACAGGCCCTAAGTCGGGAACAAAATACAACGATGCAGGTATAATTATTAACTCCCTTTTCCCCAGCTCTTCCCCAGAGCAGTACCGGCAGGCTTGACAAGGAACTTCTTAATACTGAAAACAGTTTGGCCAGGACAAACTCATTCTTATCTAGGAAGAGATTTGGGAATGGTTGTCTGAAAGCAGAGAGAGGCAACATTTCAGTTGTGTTGTCATGGTGACTCATTCATTCAAGAAGTCTGTGTTTTTCAGTTCCCCTATCTCCACCTCCCATGGTGGAGCATGTATTTCATGTTGCCAAACTTGTTAATTAAATGTCCTTATTTTTCACTGTTTTTTTAGCATGGAGGAAAAAAAAAATCAAACCACATTAAAAAACAAAGCAGAAGACAAGATCTTTTAATCTTCCTAGTGCCCTGGGAATCACACAATAGTCCAAACTTGTCAGAGCAAAGTATCAGCTTCCAGAATGTAATATAATCCACATGCCAAGCCTTGAAAAATCCATTTGCTTACTTGCCTCTAAGAAGGGAAGTTGCTTTTCTTGGTGAACTAGTAAGAGGGGAAAACACGGTTATATGAATGCCAAGCTTTTATTTAGTGCAGTCACGTGAAAACCTTCCTGTACAAAGCTGAATCCTTAACGATAGCTGAGATAGTATTATTCTCCCACCCAACCCAAAGGCAGCCTGCTCTGGGGCCACTGCTCACAGCTTTATGAATCTATAGCAGAAAAAGACTGATGTGATCAGTGCTTTCATTCTCCGGGCAAAGTTTTTACCAAAGAAAGCAGCTGAAACTTCCCGTACAAGATACAAAAGTAGTGAAGCTGAGAAAAGGCACGCACAACTAGAAATCTCGAGGCTCTGAAAATACAAGACAAAAAAAAGGAGGAAAAATTCATCTGTCTGTTATCAGGGAAGGCTGCAATATCAAACACCAACATCAAAATCAAAAAAGTAATTTTAGCATCCTCCAGCTTCTCCCCAAGGATGTGCTTCTTCCAAAGTGAAAAGATAACATAACTTCGATAAGTCCCTTATTTCCCATTTCTCTGGTTACCAGATATTCACTGAAATTTTCAAATTGTCCCCAACTGAAGCCCGCTCCCACCCCCCCAACAGAGAAACAATTTCAGTTATCTCCTAGATGATAAATCCAAAGTAAGCGGGATCATCTTTCTAAACTATTTTGCCTGACAAGCAAAAACTTTGCCTCCTCAGGATCTTGTGCAGTGTTTATCCTGGATTAGCTCAGGTCAGCTGAGCTGGAAACCTCCATGGACACCAGTGACCAACCGGGGGATGGCCCGGCCCAGCTGCCCTGACGAGAGAACCGGGGACTCGCTCCCTGCCCGTCTTAATGACCAAAACCTTTTGCAACGTCTGCCCATTAAAAAGGTTTAGAAACGCCAGTCTCTCCTCCTGGGACACCTCCGCATCTCCTGACCAGGCCCTCGGCCGGCTCCTAGCCCAGGGGCAGAGCCGCCGGCCGTGCGAGGGGAGCGGGCGGGCCGGGCCCAGCGCCGGCTCCCGGGCCGCCATCCCGCCGCCTGCCCCGAG